CAGGTGCAAGACGATATTCTACAGATATCCAAATGGTTTTTGTTGCACTATAGAATGATACAGATAAAATATATGAAAATAAATATGAACTAACTCCGCTAAAGTATTGACAATTGTTTGATGTGATTTTCGACTACCAATAACCCAACCTATTATATATAATAGATATACAAAATTTAATTTTTTTTTGTATAAACTTACCTCCACCATGAAAAAATACAACTATTTTATTTTTGTCAACATCTGTCGGTGTATAGATAGTAATTGGAGTTTCTAAATGAGACATATTTTAATAAGAATTTAGTATCAATGGAAACTTAATATTTACCTGTAGAATTAGTTTTCACCGTTTTTTCTTCCATAGTACCTTTAAACGTTCCATATAATTTTTCATTCGATTCATGATGATAATGTTCGATCAGCTGCCGCATCGGTCCAACTTCGGGAGTAGTACCTTGAGGTGGAAGATTTTTTGAAAGTATATTAAGAAATGCAAGGGTTTCATTAGTAAATCGTGGATCCCTTGAAAAATCGAATAAAAAATAAATTATGGAAAAAAAAAAGACAATTACATTAATAAAATATGCTTGTTTTATGAAGGTTCTAACAATGTGTAACGATGAAAAATTATCACTAAATATACTGTATTCTAATAGATAAAATATTTTATTAAAGAATGATAAGAAAAAAGAACTGATATATATATAAATCCATGTGACCGCTTATCTGTTACTAACCTTTATCAAAAGACAAATATATAAGTGCGTGTTGTTTTGCTATATAAAATAAAATATATCGGACATTTTAATATATTCTTAAGATGTAATTTAATCTTAAGTTTTGGCACATCCACGTTTTCCCATAAAAATTGAATAAAATTAAATTTTTCTCTTATATTTACTACTCGTTATACTTATGTCTAGGTATACTCTCTCGTTTATGTATGTGATTTAAACATGCTAACGTTCACATCACTATCTTCCTAAGACAATTATTTTTATTTTGATAATGCATAAGCAGATATAGAACATTTGAAGTTGTTATAACTTCTTAACCTGATAAAAAAAATTGCATGTTAAAAAAACAGTGTTTACATATCATAGAACGGTAATTTGCTTTCCTTTCCTTTCCTTATTTGAAGTGATTCATCGTTTTCTATAGAACAGAAGAAATTTCATAACTGCAATGACAGCATGATGACTGAAAGAAGAAAGTCAAAATTTCATAACATAGAAGAAATTTTGTGGTATAAAAACAGTCATTGACATCAGTGTAGTCATAATAGTCTCTATGATGGCAACAAGTATTGATCTACACACTTTTTCATCTGATTGCAATCCATTTATAATCGATGGACGTCTACAAGTAGTATTTGACATGGAAACTGGTGATCCAGATGATTTTGTTACTCTTATTTTTCTTCTTGGTCATCCATTAGTACATTTAAAAGCTATTACAATTGTTCCTGGTACTCCTGATCAAATTGGTTTTATACGATATGCTCTCAATCGTTTCAATCGAAATGATATACCTCTTGGTGTATTCAATATGAATGCAAAACCTGCACTATCGAAATTTCATTTGAAAATCTATGCACCTGAAATTATTCGTGAATCAAGAAACGCACTCGATGGTAGTGATGTTCTTCTTACTTATTGTGATGAAAAAACAATTTTAATTTGTGGAGGACCATTAAAAAATGTTGCAAAAGCTATTCAAACTGGACAATTTAAACTTGGTCGATTGGTTGCTCAAGGTGGATTTGCTGGTGATAATATCGTACCGGAAGATAAACGTTTGAATAAATTTAATGGAAGAATAACATGTCCAACATTTAATTTAACTTCAGATCCAAGAGCAGCTAAGATTGTTTTGGATTTCAATGGTATTAAAGAGAAATTTTTTGTATCAAAAAATGTTTGTCATGGTGTTTTATATACAAACGATACTCATAAACAACTTGAAAAAGTTAAAGATCGAAGTCAATCGTTACACGAAATGTATCATGTTATGTCTGTTTATTCAAATCGAGCTGGTAAAATAGAAAAAGCATTTCATGATCCATTAGCTGCTTGCTGTGCTATTGATATTTCTATTGGTCAATGGAAAGATGTAAGATTATATATGGATGAAAAGACCAAAGAATGGGGATCAAAGATTAGTGAACATCCAAATGTGAAAATTATTGTTGATTATGATCAAGATAAATATCTCTCGACTTTATTTGCATATGCGTAATCAATCGATATTAGAATTTGTTTTTCGCTTAACATATTAAATGTACTTTAACTGACTAAATGATATAATCTCTTCAGCTGATTTGATTTTATTAATCAGATTTTAATGAAAATCTTCTCGCTTATTTCTCAATTGAAATAGAAATTCTATTAATTCTCAGATTGATTCAATCAACAAAATGCTTTCTTTGACAAAGCTGCGCTTGACATCTAATTACGGATCAATCCAGCAAGCAATTTTTTTTTTTGTATTTATTTTTTCAGGAATGAGAAGTTATTTTATTCTATAACAAATTACCTATCCTTTATATTTCATATAAATGAATGCAAAATGTGTATATCTATAAATCCTACCCAAAATCAATAAAATACATTTATTCTCATCCATCAAACTTTTATTTTAATTACAATATTTTTGACTGTATACTTTAATTCTTCGGTGTTATTGAAAGATTTTTAACTTGATATATTTAGTCTAGTCTATTATATCTTGATCTAAAATTCATTTTATAAACAATATTTCACATACTTTACAAATGTATTGTACTACATTCGATTCATTTTTTTCGTAATATGTAATGCATAGTTATATATATCAACGTATAATAACAAGAAGAAAAGCTCATTTTTATTTTATATAAAATTAAGAATGAATATCAAGTACTATATTACTATCTTCACCAATTGTCCATGTTTTATTATCGATCTTACTTAATTGCACCAGTTTTTGCTGAATCCAAATCCAATCAGTATCTTCTTTTTCTAATCGATTAACTTGAAAATTCGAACATCGTACGGGAAAAATTGAAAGTGAATGAAGATGAATTGATTTTTTGTTATCGGAATTTGATGATGATATTGATAAATTTAAGCGAAATAGTGCACTAAGATCATTTCGATATTGTTTATCGATGGCATAATCATCAAGAAAATCTCCACAACCAAAAACTATTAAACCATACGTTTGATTTTGACGTTTAACAATTTCTACACCTTGTATATGATGACTTGAATGTCCATGTATAAGATCAACACCTTCATTAATCATCCAACGACCGAGTTCTTGAATTTTTCTATCGGGTATCCATTGATAATTAGGACCCCAATGAATAGAAAAAATGACAAAATCACAATTTAAACGTGCCGTGGCAATGAGAGGTGCAAGTTGCGTATAAAGTTGTGGAAGATCATAAGTAATTAAATGAAATGAAGGAACAGAAGACCAATCTGATGGATGATCAGATGCAGAAAGTAGACCAATTCTAATTGATGTAGAAGAACGAGGTGTTGTTGAACTAATAGGAACAGGTTTTAACTTTTCGGTTGTCGTTGGAATATCAAGGTAAACTGGTCCAAGTGCATGTTGACGTGTTTTACTTGCACCTATATAAAAAATAATAATTCAATATTATCGAAAATCTAGTGATGAAATCGTTGTCGATTATCGATGGATTTATCTGATCATGAAAATACTACAGTATCATTTCATTTACAATGTAAGTAGACACCTTGATTGTGTTTGATGATTTAATTTCATCGAGGTCGTAAAAACAGCTTCTTTTTATATAGATATATTCGCAACTTGTATTACATAGGAATGTGTATTTTTATGAGCTACTTAGATAAAAATCATCATTATCTAACGACGGAATCTATATCGCTCTGATGCTTCTATTGAAAATGGTTTAAGTATTATTGACTATTCTTAACTGTTAAAACTTACTTACCAACATAAGATATGTCAGATTTCTCTAGACTATCACATGTTTCTTCAAGACCTTTGATTCCAAAATCTAACGTATGATTATTAGCAAGTGAAACATGATGAATATTAGCTGTTCTTAGACAAGCTATATTATCAGGATGAGTACGATAACTAAATAAGAAAAGAATAAAAGGATAGATATCATATAAAAGAAATGAATGATTTACTTAAAAACTTTTTCCGGCCAAAGTTTATCATGAGTTGTAACAGATGTTTCCAAATTAATAATATTTAAATTTCCCTTAAAATCAAGATAATTCTTTTCAAAAAAAAGTGTATTATGCTTCGCATTTACCTCTTTCCATAATGGTAAAGTATTTCCCCAAATAGTTTCATAATTATATTTACCTTTTTGTAAATAAGGACAATGTAGACTTCGAGATAATCGAAATTGATGTACCAAAGCTGCTTCTTCAGGATTATGAACAGATGTTGGAAGAAGTTGATCAATTAAACGGCCTTTAATATTTTAAAAATCATATATTTATTGAAAATATTCAGTTTAAAAGAAAATCTAACCAATCATAACATCGCCGGCTAAATTAATAATAGTTTTTTCTTGTTTATTCATTGCCATTTTCGATGAAAAAAGAATATTTTTGTAGATAATTTAAAAGATTTTTTTCTTTCACTATCAGCAAATTCAAAGACACTTTTTTCAATCATTATTAACTGTACAACTATATGTTCACTTTTATTCTTTGTTTACTTGTCCATTTATAAATTCTATCGATAGAGTTCACTATTGACTTAAATATGTATCTTTTATAGCGAAAAATAAAAACTCAAAGAATTATTTCAATATATAATCTATTGTTTTTCACAAATCGATATTGAATATCTGCAAGAATCTTTCGACAATTAGCAAGTGGGAGCGTGTCCGGATCATTATATGAACAATCGGCTCAATTCAGGAATCCAATTACTTTATTTACTTCACCTAATTTTTTATATTTATCTGCTTCGTTTTTTAAATGTTTAGCTATTTCATTTGTTCATCAAATAAGAAGTTTTTCATCAGAATCAAACATAAGTACCTTCTCGATATAATCATTAGTCCAAGCAGGGGTGTGGGTGCTAGTCTAACTTTTATATACTCCATACTCACACCTACACTTCTCAAGATTTTATTGCAACAAAATACATATTGAATAGTATTTATCTTGCCAATATTTTTCTTTCCACAGACACTTTCTGATAGTCTTTAATTAATTCAGTTAATAAACAAGATATCGATCGACGACTATTGATAACATATGTCCTTTTTCAAACAATGAGATTCAATTATACATAATTTCGTAGCATACTATAATCTACCGTCAACTATCATGAATATTATCATAAAATATGCGCCATATAAAAAGCAGTACATACTGCTAATAAAAAAACGATCTCAATAATATACTTATAATACAAATCACACATAAAATAAAACAGTTTTATTTATATTTAGTTACGATGATACCCAACAAAGAAACTCCTCCACAAATTCATTGATAGTTTTTTTTACGAGTGACTAATATATCGTCGATATTATCATTTACAACTTTGCCGCTCTTTTGTTTTGCTGAATGAACGCATCGATTTCATCCTGGAGTTTCTCTCCGATATAATTATACGCGAGATTTAATTCGGTAAGTGTCTGCAAGAAAAGTGCAGATGTATATATAAGATAGACGTGGAAGAAAATGATAGTTACCGTATTATTGCGTAATGCATCTGCTAGATCCTGTGCTCCAACATATCCGATCTGATTCAATTCGAGATCTAATGTCGTAAGTGTCTACACGAAAAATACAGATGGATATATAAGATACATGGTAAAGAGTGATATTTACCATATTATTTTGTAATGCATCTGCTAGATGCTGTGCTTCAACATCTCCGATTTGATTCAATTTGAGATCTAATGTCGTAAGTGTCTACACGAAAAAGTGCAGATGAACATATAGGACAGACGTGGAACAAAATAGTATTTACCTTATTATTTCGTAATACATCTGATAGATGTTGAACTCCTACATCTCCGATTCCATTGCACCAGAGCTTTAACGTGGTAAATGTCTACACGAGAAAGGGTAGATGAATAGACGAGATAGATGTGAAAGAGAACGATAATTACCGTATTATTTTGTAATGCATCTGCTAGATGCTGTGCTCCAACAGCTCTAATTTGATTGAATCCAAGATCTAATCTGACAAGTGTCTGCAAGAGAAAGTACTGATGAATATATGAAATAGATGAGAAGGAGAATGATAATTACCGTATTATTCCTTAATGCATCTGCTAGATGCTGTGTTCCAGCGTCTCCGATTCGATTGTCGCTAAGATTTAATGTAGTAAGTGTCTGCAAGAAAAGTGCAGATGATTATATAAGATACATGTGGAACAGAATGACATTTACTTTATTGTTTCGTAATACATCTGCTATATGCTGTGCTCCAACCTCACCAATTTTATTCGATTCGAGATTTAATTTCGTAAGAGTCTGCACGATAAAGTGTAGATATATACATAAGATAGATGAGGAAGCAGATGATATTTACCGTATTATTTCGTAATGCATCTGCTAGATAGTGCGTTCCAACAGCTCCAATTTTATTGCTTCCGAGATTTAATTCGGTGAGGGTCTGTATAAAACAGTGCAGATGACTATATGAGAGAGATGAGGAAGCAGATGATATTTACCGTATTATTTCGTAATGCATCTGCTAGATGTTGTACTCCA